GTTGAGAAACTAATCATGCTTTATATGCATGGCCTTCGCACCCTGATTGCTACAAAATTTTACTAGTTAATTTTCCGTGTCAAAAAGTTTTATAGACAATATTTTTCTCTAAATTTCTCCCTACACACGTGGACGCACACATGTAAAGTCTGCAGACCTGCTACTAGGCATTCAAATTAATCTATTGTAATTGATCTGCTTGATATAATATGAAATCTACTGAACTAATAAGAAGCATGTATTAGAAAATAGGGAAAGATAAGAGAAAATATAATAAAATAAAAACTCACTTATCACTAACAAGACCAATAAAAAATGGTTGACCATTATCTTCAAAACATCGATCGAGTTCTTCAAGACATGTTAATATTGTTTGTTCGGTTGTTGAATCTTTTGGAACCTAAATTAAAATAAACAATGCAATGTTTAATGAAATAATAAATTGTATTTTTTTGGTAGGAATATTCAATTTCATTTTTGAAAGTTTTCCATTCGTCCGGAGTATTTTCTTCTTAAAAAATATGCGAATTGAGTAAACATATGGATGATATTCAGTTTGTTACATACAAGTTTTGGTAATAGCTTTCATGAAAAATAATTGACTGTCAACTAATTGAATTTTAACAGTCAATTTATAAAGAATAAAATACATAGATATTAGAGTCTAGTTAGACATGTTGAAAATAAGACAGGAAGGAACAAACAAGATTCGAGACTCGAAAAAGATTGTCACGCAGAACTCTTATAGATATACATAATGAGATTAGACCAGATGATTTCATAACATATTAGAGCCTTACGAATAGATTATACTCCTAGTTCTATTGTAGATTGGTTCTATTAGTAATGAAGCGTTAAAACATTAAAAATATGTACGAAACATAACCAATATTTGTTCAAAAATCATGGAAAAAGAAGAACAATAATCGATTCAGAATCAAACCTTTGAATATTCATCCTTATAATATCAGCTAATAACTTATGAAAAAATTTTTCTTTTGTTCTATTTATCTTTTTCTATAGAATATTTCGATGAAAGAAAAGCTGTTAACCTGCTTATATGCTACAAACATTCATTTTTTAATCATTAGCATATGTGTTCCATTTCTAATGAGTCAAAAAAAAAACATATCCATTAGAATTTAATTGCTTTAATCTTACTTACACCCCAACGAAGGTCACAATCAATTATTTGAATACCTGCTGGTTCCATTTCATCACGTAATGCAGGAAATACCTTTCATTCCAAAAACAAAAAAACGAATCGTTAATATTTCATAATAAATAATTGTTTTCTTACTTTTTTTATAAGTACTTCTCGTTCATTAAAAAAATCTGTAAATGTAGATGAAACAAATATTCGTACAACTTTATTTGGTGTTTGTTGATGTCCATGATCATCATTATGTTCCAAAGTTTGATTCGCAATATGCTCATCGAGTCTATCCCAAAAATTGTTTGTATCTAATGGTGGTGTTTCACATTTTATATCAACATTATCAAGACTTAATGATGATTTTGATTTCGCTGATCCATTTTCTTCAATTGGACGAGTTGTTTGTGTAATAGGTGGTAATTTACGATAATTTCTACGAACATGAACTATAGTTCGAAATGGAAAGCGTTGTTGCGATTTACTTGGATGTGACATTACTGAAAGAAAAAAAAAATGAGAGCTAAATGACGGCAGAAAGAAAAGAAAAAAAAATGACACCATGTAATTCTTCTGTTGTTAACAACCACGAAGAAAAGAAAAATCTTGCCAGCATAGCAACTTTTTATCGTTCTTTGTCTTTGAAAAAAATTGCATATATATATATATATAAACTAGATGATCTCAATAGTTTAAACTAATATTAATACATTCTATTTAATATGAAAGCTAATTTGAAAATAATACTTGACATCCGTATACAGCACAGTCTATTTGTTGAAACAGAGCAAGTGCGATAGTTATATATAAAGTAAATAGAATGTCTTTGTCAATTAAAAATATTTGAAAAGTAAAAGAAAAATAACATTGTGTTTTTATAGGTCCATGAGATCTTTGGTTATTTCATCTGTAGATATCTTTTATGAACGAAATTATTAAAATAAATTAGAAGTTTTGAAGAAACCATAAGTTACAAGGAACATTTAAAACCTGATTTCTAGTGTTTGTAGATTAGTATTTTGATGCTACGTAGACAAATCCATTACCTATTACGCCCTCTGTTCGTTATTTAACTTGTGATTTTATGCATAACAGAAAGGTAATTAGACAAAGTGTTCCCTTATATTTTAGACCTGCAAATAATTGAAAGCATTGGACTAGAATGTGAATTTTTATGTTCTTCTTGAATATGAGTTTAACATTTTTGTAAGATTTTGGATGTAGAAGTTATCAATCGGCTTTTTCGAGCCCCGTAAATTAAATTCGGACAAAATTGAGCGTGTCAAATTTACCCAAAGTAAAAACGAAAACTATTTCAAATACATCGAACAAAAGAGCAAACATTTCTCAATAAAATAGTATATTGAGGATCACTTAACTGTAAGTCACTGATTAACAGTAAGTGTTTTAGTAAGGAATACCATATCAGTTTATGCAATCTTTTCGAATACTATTGAAAACTGGCCTGCAAATAGAACTCGGGCATTTCAGAAGTATGTAGTAAATGAAACTATAGCAGTAAAATGCGTTAATTTTCTCCATTCAAGCTTCATTTATGAGTCTTTAAAAGACTGACTCATTATTCTTAAATCAAAAGTCCTACAAAAATTGTGAGCTCATATTCGAAAAGAACATAAAAATTCTGATTCTAACCTAATATTTTCAAATATCTGTAGGCTCCTAAAAATTTTATCTGAGGTCTTTTCAATCATTGGTTAATCTATGCTAATGCTACAAATACTCAACTTTTCAAAGTAACTAAAACCTACTTTCATTAACATCCAAATTTCAACGAATTATACTTACTAACCACTCATTTTATACGAGTCGTTAAAAAATGATCAGGTTCAACAAAAAGATTAAAACGAATCTCAAGAATACTCACAAGCACTCATGATTAGTCTTCTCAAATGAATAAGTGACATTTGTGAATCACTATTCTTGATAATTTTCTTCATATAAAAATTTGAAAATGACTCGATAATGTCTAAACATATGTAAAAACGTCCAATCCACTTATTGGTATACAATTGCAATAAATTCTTGTATTTGTATCTTGAAAGTTACTTAAAATAACATGTTTAAAATGAAGCATGAAAACATTCATTAACAGCTAAAAAATGATTGTAATCGATCGGTTGCATTACGTATTTTCGTTTTAATTTTTAATATGTTTTGAAGTAAGAATCACCAGAAAGTATTTCAAATAGCTTGTCAACGAATCAAGTAGATAAGTTAGTGTCGGTACAAGATCAATTTTTTAAGGAAAGCCGATAAACTTTGATGTGAGCTTATTGACGCCTTTCTTTCATAAGTGGACGGTCCTCAAAAAAAAGCTGTCTTTCGTTGGAATAATGCTTTACGCATTTCAAATTAATGCAACGTTTTTTTTTTTATTAAAAGAAGATATATTCAAAAACAATTTAGCTTCTTATGTCATTGTCTTTCATTTATGAATCATTGTGTTCTCGCATTGAGTTTCATATAAAAGATTGTCTAAGATTTCAACGATTATTCTTTTCGAAAAAATTATAATTGGGGAAGATGGATGTACTATAAATCATTTAAGTATAGGATAGTCCATCTTAGGAAGAAGAGTGTCAATTCATAATTACACTTTTAGATTTGATCTAGTGGTAAACGTTGAACAGCAGTTACTCCTTAAAGAAAGAGTGCAAAATAATCCAAAAGTTGATTATGCATTATTTACATAGATCTATATCAGATGCATACATAGGACAGAAAATGCATTCAGTAGGATATCAATAAACAAAATAATAAACCTATGAGTCGTTTCCCTTATACTAACTACAGAATCGTATTGAATATATGTATATGGAGCTAAGTATTCTGATTCTCATATATACGACTGGTTTGGAAATTTTCGAAAAGTAATAAGTTCCTATTAGTTGTATAAACTTTGTTGGAGGAGAAGCATCTGATACTCCTTATAAGTACTGGTGTACAGTCCCTGGTAGTAATTATAGTTATGTTGTAAACCATATCTCAAATATTTCCACAAGGTTAGAACACTTCGAAATTAATAGATAACCCAAGACAATTTATTGGGTATATAATAAGTTTTTGTTGTAAACACGTTGAAATCTATTCCTCATATTTAGAACATTGAATAACATATGATTGTAGTGTATAATCAATTTGTCAAGGTGTCATATCTTTAGTTTTGTTTTGCTCAAGTACTGTTGTGTTTGTTTATTTGTTTTCATTTTTTTTGTTCTTTCGCATTACGAAAAAAAGCGAGAATAACAGCTTTTTTCCTGTATATATTGATGAAAAAACGAAAAAAAAAAAACTATCAAATATTTTTACGCTTGATTGCATTACGTGACTTCTATACATATACGCAGCGAGTAAAGAGATATTGTCATTGATTCCTCTCATTTATTTCTTCACGTCTCCTTCTTTTTTTTAATTTCCAATAACTAATATATATATATATATATATATACCTCTCTCATCTAATTTAATATTCATTAGTGTTTGAAATATTAATATTGATCAACCAATTTATCAGCAGAACCAAATCGTTGTTTTTCTATTTGCATATGATTGAGTCCTTCTTGTTCGTTTGAATAGTTGCGATCACGTGAATATATACCTTGAAAATTAGTTTGAAGGATATACAAAAAAAAATGCGTATTCTACGAGAGATGATGGTCAGAACGTAAAAATGGATTCTGTCAACCTTACTGTATCCACACCCATGCCATCACTCAGTGCCCTCGGAAACGACGTGTGCATCTTTCAGGATACTCAGTTTAAGATAATAAAGTTTGCTTACTTTTTCTTAAAGATAAAATTTTAATACAAGTTTTCAATTGTCGAGATGGGTAATGCAGCGTATCGACGAAGGCGTGCTCCTGAAATTGCATCCCCGAACCTGTAAGCGATTTTCTTTTTTTAATTATAATAAATATATAGTTTTTTTTACATAAATGTAGTATTCAGCAATATAGTGGTAACTCTGATTTTATTCCACGTTCACGTAAAATTTGATTTCTATCAATTAGAATGAAAACATAATCAAATTTATTTGAATTTTAGGTTCTTTAACTATGACTCAAGCACCATGGCATGTAACACAATGGATTGATCCATTTGATCCTTATCCTAAAGGGGCCACTGTTCCTGTTTTACTGGTTATTCCTAAATAATAAGTCAACGTCAGAAACAATTCTTGAAAAACATGTTTTTTTTTTAGTTTTTTTCCATTGCATAAAATATGTAAATTGATGTACTCTATGTCATTGTTAACTAACTCGATTTTGTTGAAAGATTAGTAATGTTAACATCAAATAAATATCTGTGCCTCCTGTGAACTTATTCATAAGATAATTTGTTTAGAAAGAAAAATAAAATCTTCCTAAAACTGAATTATTGTGAATATTTGAATGATATTGAACGAGTATAGGCGTATAACTTGATTTTTTTACACATATGGTTACACTTAGTTTTCATTCATCGACGATAATAGTACAATGTGTGATATGAAATGAAACTATGCTTTAGATTCGCTCATCAATGAGATAAATAGACTTAACAAGACTAATAACGAGTTTCATACGACAAAGGTGTTTTAATTGTATATGAATAAAAAGTCGAATCTTATTCCACACATATCATTGTTGTATAAGATGTTTTTGTTGAAGAATTCAAACAAATAAAGAAATATTATCACAAGGACTTAGAAGAACAGGTAAAACAAAATTTGCTCATTGAAATAGAAACGTTCTTTACATTAAACATTTTCAAATTGAATTAACTGGTATAAGGATAAAAAAAAAGACATAAAATACATATGCAAGATTTTTCGACAAATGCATAAAACTAAGTTCATAAGAGCATAGTTTGTGAGAAAAACATATTTCTTTTTGTTTATCAGAATGAAAAAATGTCTCTAGAATATGTATATATCATTTTTTTAAAACTTCTTAACAATATTTCGAGCCTTCTAATATGTCAACGACCTGAGTTGCTCTTTAGATAATTTACTTTTTTTAAAATTAATGTATTCTGTCTGAAGAAAGAATAATATCAATCTTAAAGTTGCCCATAATCGAATATACAATAAGATATTGTTCTGCATTGATACAACTCTCGTACTTGAGAATCAAGGCTTCGGATGTAAACATGTCACTCTTATTATGAAATTCATCTTTTCTTTTGGCATCTTACATAGAAATTATATCGTATCAATGCAAAATATCTTTAATTTTCATCGAGAAAAAGATTCTATTTGCTGTTATGCAAAATATTCAAAGAACTAGAAGTAAATAAAAGATACTGAACGAAATTTTTTTCTTTATATAAATAAAAAGTATAATCTGCAGTTAGTATATATCGTGCACGTGCGCCATCTATACAATTTTAAGTAGGATATTTACATAAGTATGATGATTTAAAATAATAAAAAATTTCTAAAACACTTTTTAGTTATAATACCTTTCATCTATTAGAAAATTTTGTATATGAGGGCAAACCATCGCTTATTACCAATCAGTAAATCCATTGTGCGGCCTATATAGTTCATCTCGAAACAGCATTTTCCCCATTTTTTGTGTTCGATTCACCTTGAACACTATCTCTCTATTGAACGCACGATTAATTCAGCTATTCGCGATACAGTCCTTTGTAAAGAACATATTATCATAGTTAGTAAGTATCAGATTAACTTTTTATTTTGTTAAGTGGATATGATGACTTCTAACCCTCTTTACTGACACATTCGTGTTGACCAACAATGTCTGATCCATACTTAAACTTGTTTTTTTCTTAATGCTAAATAATCTTTTTCTACTTGTAGGTTTTGTGAGAATGCAAATGAACTTATCGATTTTCTCAAATTGAACTCATTGCTAATATCAAGTTACGGAATCGTTTCTCAATCAAATGTTTCTTCACTGAATAATAAGAATTTCCGAAATAGTCATCTAATTTTTTTTTTAGTTGTGTATCTAAATACTTGAAATCGATAGAATATGATGAGTAACAATTGATCGTGTTTCACCTGATGCAGCTGATTATATTTTTCTATCAAAGCTGATTCTATCGATTTGTTTTAGAAAGATTCTAATCTGTCCCAGATTAATTTACCTGTTTCGATGATGAATAATAATATCGCATGTATTACTTGAATAAAATCATGAGAAAAAAAAAGGACTGAGAACAGATATGAAGTTGATTTGGGACAGATAAAAAAAAGAACTTATGTAACATGATATTCTTATTTCAGACTACAATTGAACATTTGTGACGCATATATGCAATAAGTCAGGTTCATGACGATCGATTTAAATAGCTTGTGTTTTGATCTAAGCACTTTTTGTTTCGCCGCAAGATGAAAAACGATTCAAGCAAACAGATTTACTGACAAGGTCTTAAATGATAGAGTTATCTTTTGAGAAAATGAAAACATTTTGCATTGTAATTCAGATGAGAACTTGAAATGCAAAATCAAAACATCATAATTTGGATAATCAATGTCACGCAAGATTTGCATTTTTGTTCTGTCTACAACTTGGTCAAATCTCAATCCTTTGAAGCTAAAATTTGCTCCGTCTTTTCAATCGATGACAACTATTTGTGACGAAAAAATTGTACGACAGAAATTACATATTGGTGTAAAAATGTTCTACGGAATTCTTCAGCTAATATTTATACTAAATCGTGAATGAAATCATATTTACTAATCGTGAGATAAGTTACTACGTAATGTAGATTGGCTTGGAAAAAGAATTAGCATAACCTAATAAGCATTTCTTCAGGAATGTAGAAAATTTGTAACCTCTAGCACGAGGAATCGTGCTATTGGCCTTGGTGAGTATGACGTAAGTCAGTATTTCAGTCTGTTTTATAGTAGTAGTTGAAAAATTATTGTTTTTGTTTTTCTTTAACGTGTAACAAAGTCAGTGAGGAAAAATATTTTAATTTGCAATGTTTCTGTTTATTGGAAACTATACCAATATGTTGCAAATCGTTCATATCTTTATCATTTTGTTATGTTTTCAATTAAATAAGCTTTTCATAAAATTATTCAAAGTAGAAAAATTGCAAAATATGAAATAAAAAAACAGGTTATTAATCATCGCATTCAGTTGCGCAATTACTGGGTCATGACAAAAATCTTTCTCTGTTCCCTTTAACTTACTTCGTTATATTTATTTGGTCGGAGAGAATCACATGTTTTTGAAAACATCTAATGGCTGAAATGAATACGGATGTTACAAATAGTTTGCCAACTTTAGTAACACGATTTGTATGTATCAGTGATAATCATGATAATTATGATTTCACTCTTCCGGATGGTGATATCTTACTTCATTCGGGTGATTTTACTCGTAATGGAACAGAAAAGGAAATTGAAACATTTTTAAATTGGTTAAAAACTTTAACTCAATATCGTTTAAAAATAATCATTGTTGGTAATCATGAATCTAAACGATTTTATACAAAGAAACGATATAAAAAACAGCCATTAGTGATTGAACAATTAAAAACTGATAAATCATTAGTTACAAATTATGGTATTATTTATCTTCAAGATCAAACTTTTCAAGACCCACTAACTGGATGGAAATTTTATGGAAGGTATTTATAAGAAATATTTTATTGAAAAAAACTTCATGTCCTTTGTTTTTCATTTTGCAAAATAGTGGTTGGTTATCTGAACATTGTAAAGATCCCGATGAAATTTGTAGTCAATGGTCTAAAATACCAATTGATACAGATATTCTTCTTACACATGGTCCACCTTATTCTATTTTAGATAAATCAACTCGTACATCTCATCTTGGTTGTAAAGTATTACTTAACTCAGTATCAAATATTATTAAACCAAAACTTCATGTTTTTGGTCATGTACATGGAGGATATGGACAATTTAAAAATGATCATAAATTAGGAAGAACATTGTTTGTTAATGCTTCCTTATGTGATAGTTATTTTCGTACTGCTCATTCACCGATTGTAATTGATTTAAGTAAAGATGAATAGAATATCGTCGTTGTTGCTTATTAATTGCTTTAGCACATTCATGTTTGTATATGTTTTCTCTAATAAAGTTTAAGATTGGAAAGTATCAATTTCTTTTTCATAATCACTGATCGGTTCAAAATATTTAACCTTTGCACGATCACCTCGAGTTCGCACGGACTCCAGTCAGTTTCATCACAGTGTTAAAAGTACACAATATTAGATGAAACTACTCATCTTCTAATTAGATAAACTTCAAGGAAGACTCGTAGCGTGTGCTAATAATATCTGCTATCACTTACACCCAACTATTATTTATTTGAGTAGACTATTTCGAAGTACATATGAACTGTTGTTGACTACCTTCAGTTCGTTCGAACTTCAATGAGATTCATGGTTATGTTATGCATTCATAACATTTAATCCGAATCATGTCCTTTTAGATATGATAATGTATACACTTACGAGGGAACCGTTTCAAGTGATAAATCGCTTTTGAGTTCGGACTCAATGCGTAAGGTAGACCCCATTGAGATATGAGAAACCCCAAAAGGACAAGTGCTCTTAGGCCTTTCTGCCAGAGTTACAGCCGTTTTACTGGAATTTCAGCCTATAGGACGGTATACACCAACAAATTGAATGGTGGCTTTTCGAAATGAAACTTTGTCCAAAGATAGATCCATTTATAACTAGAATATCCTGAAAGTTACAGTGAAAAATGTTGTTTTCTTCACGAGATATTAAGTTTCCAAAATACAGGAGATTTTTGCATCTTTTGTTTGGTACGAGTGATTTTTAGAATTCCAATATCTCGTCAAGGAAACAATATTTTGCACTGTGACTTTCAGGATATTCTAGTTATAAGTGGACCTATCTGTGGGCAAAGTTTCAGTTCGAAAAGCCACCATTCAATTTGTTGGTGTATATCGTCCTATAGGCTGAAATTCCAGTAAAACGGCTATATCTCTGGCAGAAAGGCCTAAGAGCACTTGTCCTTTTGGATTTTCTCATATCTCAATGGGGTCTACCTTACGCATAGAGTCCGAACTCAAAAGCGATTTATCACTTGAAACGGTTCCCTCGTTAGTATAGTACACTGATAACATCAGTCAATCCTATGCGATTGTTTTTCTAATGTAGAGCAGTTGAATGTGTTTTCAAAAACAGTTTAAGAGTTGCTTGT